AGCATGTTTATGATTTTTATTTTGAAATCTCTTTCAGGAAGATTGCTGAGATCAGTTTCATTTTATTCTTTTTCTTGTGTTTGTACGATTTGGTTTGAACCAGGTTCTTTTGACATTTCATATTTTTATTTGGCACCCTCTAGTGCCCAGAAGCTCTACTCTCTGGGACTGCTCAGCCCCTGGAGTGATGTTGCATGTTGCAGGGGAGCAGTGTTGGTGCCTGGCTGGAGGAAAGAGCTGTTTCCTGCTTCCCAGCTGCTATGCCTGTCTCCACTGCCAGAACCAGTGGGTTGAACACACAACTGTATGCCTCTATGCTTTGCATTTGTATCTGCTGTAGGCAGGGCTTCCCTCTGGCTAGCCTGGTGTCAGGGCAGGGATTGCTGGTTTGGGAGCCAGTGCTGGCTAGCCGAGAGGAAGGTACAGCAGGCTGCGTATCATGGTGGGTAGCCTTGGAGCTGTGTAGCCAGCCAGGAGGACGGAGTGCCTGAGGATTCTGAAAGTTCCCAACCTGCTGGCCTTGTGTATCTGGACAATTTTGTCTACCTGTCCTTTCTCCTGACCAGTAAGCTCTGGGAAATCCTTGCCCCTTTAGCAGCCCTCTCACTTTTAGCAAGTCTCTCAGACTGCTCACCCAGATCAGCAGGATATGGATCCCTGTTTTCCACAAGCAGCTGAAATCTCAGTCTCTCCAGGTATTCTGCCTGTCTTAGCTTTCCAACCCTATTAATCACCAGAGTACCATGCAATGTAGGTTCTTGCTCCCCATGCAGATCTCCAGGGCTATGTGTTGAGCAGTCCCAGGCCTCCACTCCCTCCTGGCTCTGTTTCTCTTCCTCCAGCTGGTGAGCCAGTGGAAGAAAGGCTTGGGTCCCTCCAGGCCACAGCTTTGGTACGTTACCCTGTTTTGTGAGGTCTGTTCTTTTCTCCAGGTGTATGCAGTCTGGTGCAGCCTTCTTTCCTGTTGCTCTTTCAGGATTAGTTGTAGTAATTATATTTTCATATTATATGTGTTTTTAGGAGGAGTTCTCTGTCTCACCTCTCACACTGCTGTCTTTAATCTCATCCAATAGGTATCCACTTTTTTATTATAAAAAAAATTTTGATAGGAAAAAATATCTGAATCTAAATTAAATCATTTGTAAGATAAATATAATCATGTGATGCTATTGCTATTTTATTTTTAAAACATAATATTCATCTGAATTTTAAAAAACTTGTAAATGCATTTGGAGAGGGTGGCTAGGTGAGCTTCACAGACATAAACTTACAAGGCTTTTATGTGAAAAACCTCGATTTATACCTCACCAGATAGTATTCCTATACCATTTCAGATCACTTTTAGATAATACCTCCATGAGAAAGGGGAAACAATAAGAATATATTCTCTCTCAACCCACCTTCCAATCCTTTTCTATACCCTCACACTCAGTATAGTTGGAAATTATTTTATTATCCAACAATTTCCATTATTTTGTACCTATTCCAAACAATAAACTGAGATGACAAAATTATACAAAAAAGCACTAACTTGTACACAGTTTTAATGTAATCATAAGTTTTGGGGAAGTAAATATGTCACTTATCCTATAATTGCCTAAAATATTTAGGTTATTAAAATAAATATTTCTGATCTCTTAAGAAAAGAATGACAGCCAGTAATCTAAACTGAAACTGCTAAGCAGCCTTCTCCATTTGGTTTAGTTAATTAAAAGTCTGATTTTTCTGCTACAAAACAAGTCAATCACTTTTGGTTTCAAATCAAGTTTCTTTCACTTCAATGTGATATGAATATCAACAATTCTAGCCTCCATTTCAAGAGCCTATTATTGCCATACTGTTGTCACCAACACAACAGCAAAACCAGTATGAGAGAAAGTATAGCAGGTAATGTTTATGTGATGAACCCCCAAAAACCTTTCACTAAAATATGAAATTGGTTATGTCCTAAGATTATACCATTAAATCTCAAGAAATGTAGCTCATTGATTTAGAGTTAATGTGCTTTCTGAATTTTTGTTCACCACTGAAACTCTATGGAGCAGAATTTATGTTGAATAAGTTAAATATTACTCATATAGAAATACAAATTTATGAAACAGATACTGTAGATTCAATTAAAAACATGTTTAAGAATTATAATCCATAGCTTTTTAAAAATGATTTTAACTGTGCATAATAGAAAAGTATTATCCAAGATAGTTAAAGAAACATTCCAACTGGGTCTAAAGTGCTAAGGACGTTAAGCCTTACAATCTCTCTCCTGGTACAACCAAATGCTGGCTTTAGCCTAACTTAAATATGTATTTGAAAGGTAAAGTGATTTAAAATAAGTAACTGTCACTATACTTCATTGATATGTTAAAGAATTTTGGTACTGAATACTTATTATATCCTTCCCTAGTTTATTATCAGATATATGACATGAGGATTTAAATCTCATCAGTAAATATATACTGTCTTACTAAAAATAAAATAAAAATATATAAACTGAGGTTCAGATATATAGTTTAGAAACAAATAAGAGACTCATTACTAATAAGAAAAGCTACTAGTTTTTGGAATGAATAAGGAAATTTATATTATCTTTTGATTTACAACATTTTTTAAGAATAATACTTATTTTTTACACATCTATTTTCAAACAGGATTTTGGAAGCACCTTAAAGTACCTATAGTTACATTTTCATAAATCACATCCTATTTCAGTGTAGAGGTCTTAAGAGGAAAGTAAAAAAGCTTTACATATATTTTTAGGAGAGTGACCAAAATGAGACTGCAGCCTTAATATATTCACTAAGAAATAATACAGATTAAAGCTACAATAAAAAGTAATCATATAAATACAGTAGTACAGAAATAAAAAAATAAACACAATGATTAATAAAATGCAAAAACAATAATTATAATAAAGTTAATTGTTCTATAAAGCAAAGTTTATTCTTTAAAATACCAAGAAAATAAACAAAGATGGCAAGTAAGGGAGTAAGGCAGAAATAAACAACTTAAATAAAAATTCAATGATAAAATAATAATATATTAAATCACTTAGCACAATATCCTCTAAGCCCACCCATGGTTGTCAAAAATGGCAAGATTTTATTCCACAACTCTTAAGAAATTAAAAGTATTGTGAGTATCCAGAGTTGAAAAGGATGCAAGGAAGGAAATATCTTAGTTACTCTGTGGATGAGAATATTAAGTGATTAAAAAAACCTTTAGGAGACAATTTGGTAATACACAACAAAATTTCAAAAGTGTGTATCTTTGGACCAGCAATTATACTTCCATCAAGAAATCTACTGAATAGAAATACTGATACATATATATAAAGAGGAATATACTATATAATATATTTCACTACAGTTATTCAAAATAGCAACAAAAAAAAGAATTATATAATATCTACCAATAGAGTAGTAGTTAAATAAAGTAGTATATAACCACACTATGGAATACCATGTAATCATTAAAAATAATGAGATTAAAATATTTATACTTATGGGAAGATCTTTAGGAACATTGCAACAAAAAAGATTCAACAGAGCAAAAGATATAGCTAGGAAAATGAAAAACTATATATGTATATACATATGAATATGAACATAGAGGAAATGGACTATATATAAGGAACAAATCAACCTTGAACTAGATTTACTCTAATGAAGGAGTAAGAGTTGGAGAGGGTGAAAGGACTCTTTAAGGGTTTTTTTTAATATAGTTCCTTAAAGTTTGACACTCTCAGAATATATTTTCAAACATTTTTTTTGGTAATGAATTTTTTTAATGTTGCATAAGATAATGCATAATAAAAATGTTAGAGATAGATATCAGTGATCTATAACAGATGAAGCTCTACTGATATGTCATCCTCATATCTAAGATCATAACATTTTAGAGACAAAACAGGTTCTGAGATCATTTGCTTACAATTAATTCCTCATTTTTACACCAGTTAAAATTAAGGACCAAACAGGTGATTTTTAGAATGATAGTTAACCACAAATAAGTCCTTAAAAAGAAAAATATAAATACATAGTTCTCATTAAAGCAGGAATTCTGCAGAGATGCTGAACTATATTTTTTCGAACTTCCACTAATATTCCTTGTCAAAGTACTGAAAGGTACTTGGAAGGCGATTTATTCTCGTCTCAGGTAAAGATTCTCAACAACATCACTCTAATGATAAAAATTGTTATCCCTTTCTAAAGAATATATTAACTATATATTTTTCAATATTTCTAAGAAGCCTATATTATTGGACCATAGTAATTTTCTCACTTATTTAATTATCTTAACAAATTTTTTCAACATAGCTTAAGCTACAATGAAAGACTGATATTAAAAAAAAAAGAAATCTCAAGTGAGAAGTCTCAAAACTTTCTAAAACATGTTTCATTGTGTATTCCTCTGAGACCTCTATAACAGGAAGACTTCTAAGACAAATTTTCCTCATAACGCCAATCAGGCATAAGTTTAGTGCCTAATGTCAGGAATAGGAAACAATTTTGTCCCACTACACAGGGACATTTCCCAATGTTGTGAGAGATTTTTTATATAACACCTGGGAGGAAGGTAGTGCTACTGGCATCAGCTGGTAGAATCAAAAGAGCTGCTGAACATTCTAAAATGTGCAGAGACCCCACAACAAATGACAGTGTGGCCCAAAATGTCAGTGGTGTTAAGGCTGAGAAACCCCAGCTGGAAAATCACCTGCAGGATCCACAGTAGTTTTCCCCTTCAGTAGTTTCTGGAATATTCAAAGCTAAGTTAGTTAACCCAGAGTTCACCCTTCCCTCTTCACCTGTGACTTTTCTCCCTACCACATCCCGGAATACTGTAAGACATTCTAGTTAGTAATGGATATTACTCTGGGAAAATATTAGAAATACCAACTTCAATACCATTCTAGTAAGTAAAGAGTTATTTAATTTCCATAATACTGAATCAAATTAAGGTTCAGGTAGTATTTTATATGTGAAAAATATAATGCTGCTTACCTTAAATAGACAACGGCATATATATTCATATACCATATGTTTTAATGAGCTGATAAGAGCCTGGATTCTCTGTTCAGTATTTTCAAAATCCTGTAGATTCAATTTGAAAATTGAAAAACTCTTAGGAAATTTATAAACACTAAAAAAAGGTAACCCTTAGTTTAGTCACCCTTATAAATTGTTCCTCTACACTCAAAGATGATTCTGGAACAATTATTTTTGCCAGTCAAACTCAAGGGACTAAACAGGTAAGTGGATTAAACTTGCACAAATACAATTTTAAAAACTGATCTTTTTTCTTTAATGCATAGAGTTAAGGTTTTCAATAAATGAAAATAACAATCAACTTCCAAAAATACAATTTGAATTGAATTTGACCATATCACTTTGATTCCTCTGGCGTTGATAATACACCAATCTGGGATAAAGCCATTTCATTACCTGTATTATAACTACCAATTCAGCCCCAAACCAGTATGATCAGAACCACTCCACAAAAAATTTTCTCATCTTCAATATAAGAACCTGAATAATCTTAAACCATGCCCTCCAGGTTGAATAAGACTGAATAACTACTACTATATTGTTGCTGTAAAAACTTATACACACCTATAGGCTTTTTGTATCTTCTTTTGTACATCCAATATACATGACTGCCATGATTTGAAAAAATATCATAATGGCTATTTCTTTGATTAGTGAAAATGTCTTGGGTATAAATGGGGGAGAAGGAGGTTGTAAAGGCTGGTCTTTTCCCTAAATATAGTGAGTTTTACATCTCACTTCAAGGATATTTGGAGAATACATGCCTTGCAAAGTTCAATTCTGGTATATTTAGACTAAATTTGCTTGCTTCCTTGTGACTATAAATTGACAAGAAAAAAAACCTAGTAAAATATTTTTAACAGTTTAGAGAAGGACATCCAGGATGAGCAGTGTAATGTGTGAAACTGGTACAAAACATCAAGAGCCGGCACTCGGATGCACCACCCCAAGGTGTTTGGCCTTGTCCGCAGAGTGCTCGAACAGAGAGAGTTCATCATTTACAGCTCGTATAGTGAACCCTCCTCTTCATTTCATCATTTATTAACAAAGATCATATATCAAATTGAAACTTGAATCCACTAGAAAACACGCTATTCTGAGAAAGAGTACAGTACCTACAGGATCCAGTGGATTTTTAAAACACTGAGAAGTTTTTTCATCTCCATATTTAAAATTATATTACTTTTTAAAATAAATTCAAATGCAAACACACACATACAAACAAGCACACATACACAAAAGCTAATGTTATTCATGGCCATATTATCACATAACTATTACTATTCAGGAGGTACCAAGTTACAAACTTTTCTAAAGTGTAGAACTTCTAATCTATTTATTAGGTCTCATTAACCAGTTCACAATCACTGACTTTTAACATGAATATTTGACTAAATAATAAAAAGGAATTTATAATAAATAGGTAGTTATAATGCAGGTAATAAAAATACTGCCTATTTTCTAAGTAATTTATGGGAAAATTTTAATGCAAAAAGGATACTTATGACTCAGTTTTATCTCCTTATGCAATGAATTTAAAATATGATCAATCATATATCATGAACTAACTCAGAGATTTTACACATTCTGTTTTGTAAACATGCTTCTATCAGCACAATAAATGGTTTGATTAAATTTAACATATTAAAATTCAAAAACATTCTTTAAAAACCACAATTATTTATTCTTTTATCTTTCCTATGCCTCCTGAAACTGAATGTTTGTCCAAGGGCACTTCAAATATATATGAGAGATATTCTTTTCTTATCTAGCATAGACATATTTTTGCTAACAAACCCTACCCCCAGAGCACTAGCTTTTCCCTAGGTGCCATTTTATTTCCATTTTGAGTGTAAGAACATTAGTGGAAAAGAAGTCAGTAAAAATACAGTGATTTATAATCAAATAAAGATTTTCTAGAATAACTTATTCAGGAAAATATTAAGTAGTCAGACCAACAAAGACTAGGATTTTTTTTTCCTGTTGTGTTCTCTGCTATGTAATGCAAGCACTTAGAATAATGCCTGATACATAGTAGAGCTGAAATGAATATTAATAGAATGAGTGATCTCTCCTCAGAAAGATTTAAGTAAACCCACTTGAATATGAAATTTACCTCAAATCTAAGTAAGAACAAATTAGCCTCCCACAAAAAATAATTTTAAAAATCACTCATATTCAAACACAAGAACTATGAATAATAATTTGATGAATTGGTCTCATAAAAATATTTTGAAATAAAAAAGCAGGTAATAAACTCAAAATATTTGCAATATATGACAAAGGTTTAATGTCCTCAATATAGAAGAATCTCTTACAAGCTTTTAAAAATATTAATACCACAAGATGTAAAAAAAATAATTCATGAAAGAAGAAAAACAAAATAAACCTATATCTTACAAGTGATGAAACACTTGGAAATACAGTTAAATATTTTTCAATTACCTCATAGAATAATTATTCATACATATTAGTATCCATTGTTGGTTAAGGTGTAGATGGAAAAAAAGCATTCTCATTGCACTGGTTTAGTACATTAATAGCATATATTTCCAAAGGATAACTAGACATCATTTATCTAAAGGTTTACAAATGTGCATTTTTATCCCAGCTATCCAAGTCTAGGAATTAACTAAAAAAATAATTAGACAAGCAAAACTGAAAAAAGAAGAGCCATAAATGTCTGTAGCTGTTTTAAAACCTAACATTTTTAACACTCCTTCCATCAAGAGGTGAAGTCTATTTCCCCATTCCTTTGAATCTGGGTAGGTTTGTAACTGCTTCAACCAATAGAATACAGTAGAAATGACACTGACCGAACGCTGGGTTATAAAAGGTGATTCTTTTACATAGATAAGGCTTTTATATGTAAAAGACATTTTACGTATAAAAGTCTTCTGCCTGGTTCACTGGAATATACATCTTCGGCACTCAAAGATGTAATATGAGAAATCCAACTGTTCTTTGCTGTGAGGAATCCAAGCCTTATGGAGACGTGCTGCACTGAGCAAACCTAGTCAAGTCCTCCCACTCCAGGCACGGAACTTGCAAGTGAAGGCTCCACACACACAAGTGAAATCTCCCCCCAACAACACTCCCACTCCCTAGTCCTCCCAACTGAGGTCCCAGACATTGTGAAGCAGAGATAAGCCATCCCTGCTCTGCTCTGACCAAATTCCCCATGGAATCCACGAGCATAAAAAAACGTTGTTCTAATCTGCCAAGTTTGGGGGGGATATAATATTCAGTACAGATAACCAGAACAATGTCCATGTAGGAGGTGATTAAATAAAGTATTGTATAGCTTTGCAATCTCTCAAAAATATTCATTAGTTTTATACTTATTGACATGAAAGTTGAATACAATAGAAGTATATTTTTTTCAAAAGACAGTATACCTTTTGACTAAAATAATTCCTATCCATCAATATATCCACCCTCCCATTAGAATATAAGCTTGATAAAGCAGTATATACTCCTGCATATATTATCTAGCACAACACTTGGCACATATTTATAGCCTCAAACCAGGACATACACTGAAATTATAAATTTTGTTTTCCCCAAGTAATGGAATTATATGTATAATTTCTTATCTTTATAACTTTCTGAACCATCTGGTTTTTTTAATGGTCATCTATTACTTATTAATTTATACTCATAAATCATTTCTATTAAGAAGACTGTCACATTGGGATAGTTTGTTGAGAACATAAAATACAATTAAGGGGCAGGTTTCTATTTTAAATTAGTTTAGAACTGTTACATGTGGTCTTTAGAAACACAATTCTACAATTCTTAGGAAATTATTATTATAAATTAAGCACCTAGTAAAGTGATCTCTCTTATTCAGTCTGAGATATAGGGTAACCAATAGCATACCTGTTTGTTTTGCAGAACTCGCTGGAAAAGTCGGAGGAATGCAGCCAAACTAAAACGGTACATGTTATTAATTTTGGACAAATCAGAGATAATGAAGTACATCTTGCTGGCACTCTCAGCCAGAGGAAGATAGGCATCCCGTTCCTGTGGATCATTGGTTTGTGGGGAAAAAAATACCTTATTAATAGAGCTTTACTGCCACCTACAGACTACCAGGCACATAACTAGCCACAGCCTTACTATTTCTACATACAAACAAATGAAGATGGCAAATCATAGAATTTTATGCATAAAAGGATACCATGATCTAGTTTCTTATTTTCACAAAACTGAGGGAAATCTAATTTAAATGCTTCCCTATCCCTCAGATTGCATTGCTAGAAGTTATTTATAGGTTGATCTCATTGAGAACACTTTATTAGGGAAATGAATATAAGACAGAATGGTAAACAGTTGCGATCAGAGTAAATGATCAATTTTACATTTCAAAATGGAACTGGTTCAGGTAATACAGCAGAGCATGGCACTACTAGGCTCTTTCCACTAGATAAAAGTTAGAACTATGAATCCAGTGTGTGGGAATGGCGTCCACAAGAACACTTGATGGACCTAGAGCAGAGGAGACTGTAGCAGGTGTCCACATTAGGACGATAAAGCACCCAGCATTGTTCAACATAAGCAGAGAAAGCCAGTAACCATATGGTCTTTCATTCTGACTGAAAGGTAGAAGATGAAAAAATGAAAGGATCATAGGATTAAATGACCTCAAGGTTCTGAATGGAACTTTGAGTTTCTCCATACCATTCTGATCAAACCACCATGATTACAAATATGATACTGTGAAAATTATGTGTGAGACTCAGTAGTGCCTGTTCAGAAAGAGAAGGCCCAGAAAGTTCAAAATCCCTTTGGTGTAAAATAATAGTCATGATTTCTGCCAGGTTTAGCCCTGGTAGAGAAGGTGAGGTGACTTAATAGGAATCAGGCTGTAAGTTTTCTCTTAGTCTGGTTTCAGCAGAGCTCTTTCCCAAGTGAAGAAAGAAATAATATGTAAGTGTAGGATTTGAGCAAGGACTGAAAAATACTGAACATAAAATCTGGAAAGGTTATGAAGGTGAATGGGAAAGAATTAAAGGGTGTCAGTGACGGCCTAGGTCACAGTGACTTCACTCTGCCTGGCTGTCTGGTTTTCATGGAGCAAAGCTCAGTTACTGGAATGCATGAAGGGAAAAGATGTAAAACACTAATGTAGGGCTGCAGCTTTACAGAGGGAAATATTAGAAAGAATGAAGTAAAAGGATTTTAACCATTTGTAAGAAAATAATTCAGATCATCACAATCATGAGATCCAAGAAGAGCAGAGAAGAAAAAAATTTTAATGGTAAAAGCTTATAACTTTTTTAATTAATGTATTTAACTTGCCTTAAGAAAAGTTTCAAGGATAGCAAAGATGCTTAACCATCATTTTCAATACACTCATTTTCAGTTTCAGTGCAAATCTCTAGAACCTCAGATAATGTTACACGAGAAATGAGTAGAACCCAGCAGAGTATACAAACCAGCAGTCCTTACCCTGGGTGCCCCCAACATCTCAACTGCTTTGTACCATACTAAGAATCAGACCTAAGGCTCTGGTGTTTCTGAATAGCTTTCTTTTTTTGCAATCATCTTTCCCCTTAAGTCCTGAATCTTCATTCTTTAATCATCTTAACATAAAATGTTAAGAAAACATGCTGTAAGATCACAAAGAAGGAAATAATTACTTGATCAAGGGAAATTTGGAGTTTGTAAGATTCTTTAAGTGACTCTTGAATAAGTGCGCTGCTTGCTTTAGTCTGATTCAAAGATTCAATCAAATCCTTATTTTCCAAAATATTGCCTTGAGATGTGGCAAGTGTCTATAGGAAAAATTAACAAAATATGAAAATTATTAAATAAAATAATCACAGAAAGCCCAAATTAACTATCATTAACTTGATGATGTTTATGGGAATTTATGTTACTTAAAAAGAATTTCAACATTTTACAGCTTATAAAAATGATATAACAACTGATATCATGGCTTACCATCAAAATATTGTATTTGTATTAAGTTCATCAACCTCATAAAAATAAACTTACTTAAAGTTACAGATTAAATCATAACTTCATGCTACATTTTAATGTTCCTTGAAATTCTAGGCATGTAATAGATAATCAAATATTAGTGAAACAATTCAGTATAAAGACAATATTAGTTAAAAATCACTTGTCTTACACATTACTCTTTAAGATCTTATATTGTAAGATACCTACTTTTTTCCACAAAATTTTGATTTTAAGATACATATTAACATGTCATTTGACACAATCAAAATATGCCAAAGGTACTATTAGTTAAAAAACAACAATACTGTTATATATATATATATTTGTGTTTATAAATGTAATACAAAAAAATATTGTGAATAACTAAGTTTTACCTCTAAAAGAGATTCCTCAAGCTTGGCTAACTGTATTTTCTTATCTTCTTCCTGTTGCAATAGTTTTGTTTTCTGTTCCTCTAAATCAGGTTTCTCATGCTGAATAGTTAAAGCCAAAAGCTTAAAAGAAAAATCATTTAAAAGTCAAAGTTATTCTAGTGATAACGTTCAAACAAAACAAAAACTTCCCACAAACATGTCTTGTGTATGACCAATACTATGTACCTACTTTGATTCCTTCTATTTAAACATATGAAACACCTTCACAATTATTTCTGCCAAAAAGAAGCCAAATGAATAGTTAAACTGATCAATAAAAGGTTAAGTATTATAAGACTGATGTAAGAAATTGCTTACTTAATGTATCAATATGTAATATTAGTTCTAAAATTAGATTAAACATATAAAAAACTATGGAAGCTGATATTTTTTTAATAGCAAATATTCACATAAAGAAATATATATCTTTCTTAAAATACTATATCATCATAATCACAATGAGATACCACTTCACACCCACTAGGATGGCTACAATAAAAAGACAAATAATAACAAATGTTGGCAAGGATGTGGAGAAAGTGGAACTCTCAGATATTGTTGGTAGGAAAATAAAGTAGTACAAACTTTTGGAATAGTCTGTTCTTCAAAAATTACCCTAAACTCAGTAATTCCACTAAAAAGAACATTGAACTGCACTCTTTAAATGGGTGGATTGTATTGTTTGTGAATTGAATCTTAATAAACTGTTAAAAAATGCTACTCATATACTTAACTTTGAAACTTTAAATAAGGGAATGACACTGGCATGTCGTAAAGTATATAATTTGAAATCTGATGTGTAAGTATCTTCACTTAGTTTTTGTTAAAGTGAGATCTAAATAGTCCCTTTCCATCATAGAGCTTATAGATAGGAGTCAAGTCTACCAAGTTTTAAATAATTTGTACATTGTTTTCTTTATAAGAAGGATCACCAAGTAAGTCAAAAGATATTGTTCATAAAAATATATGTAGTGAGCCATAAATGGTATGGCAAGAAAAAATAGTTTAAAGTGAACTTTTAAGAAATTATAAAAAAACAAAATTATAACAAATATACATGCTATCATGTGAATCAAAAGAGGAAAAATCTATTATTGTTAGGTGAGAAAAAAAAAGATGATACTCAAAAAGGCAACAGGCATCATACTTTCAAAAAGGAAAAAATAGAAAGGAAGTATATAAGTAAAAATCTGCACATGAAAAATATTTTCAAATTCATGTAATTACTCTAAATTGTAATAAGCCATACAGATACAAAGTGAATTCTAAGATGCGTATGTCCTACTGGGAAAAAAATATGTTAGACTGGGAATCAAAGACTTTCAATTAGCTGAACGGGTCCACTAAGTGCAGTAGTCACATTTGAACTTTAGCATTCACAATTTAAAAAATTAAATAACTGATCTTAATTTCTCTGATCCTTCCATCTCTCAAATTCTACCATAAATAACACAAATAGAAATATAACTGTAAAATTAAAGTTATACTAGACAAAACAGCAATTGGATATTAGCAACAAATGTGTACATTTGACAAATGTATAAATAAAATAAACCCAAATGCTTTACTCTTTCAAGTGTACTTTCAAAAGTTCATATGTTAACCAGTTTAAAAAAATAGTTTCCCATTCAAAATATCTAATGATATACAAAACTACAAAAGATTTCTAAGATAAAATAATGATTGCCTATGTATACCTGTCCCCGTAATCCACTTCTTGTTGTGGTAAAGTTAACCTCAGTAACAATGGAAGCTGCATCCGGTGGAATAAAGGGATTTGGGTTTCTTGTTGACAAAAAAAGGCGGAATTCTTCATTGTAGTCAATAATTTTGTCACCTATTTGTACAACATAACGCGGCCCTGTTTTTTTAAAATGACACAAACAGTTGGACTGAATATTCTGAATTTTGCTACATGACATTAAAAAATATAATTTTCTAGTATTTCTAAATAGTTCCCATAATAAGCTTTTCTAAATAGTTTATATTATAATCAAGTCCAAAAGACAAGAACAGCTAGACTACCTAAGATACTATTCACCATAATGCTTTATTAATCAGCATTTACAAAACCAAGGATAAATAATATTCATTAAAATGATCTTGGGATACTGAAGCATCAAAGTAATATCTACTTATAGTTAGTATGGTTTAAATGTTAACTAAATACTTCATATTCCAAATTTTTCTGAAATATTTGGTTACAGATGGCAAAAAATAGTGCCAATTATATATTACTCTCTATTATATAAATTCATCAGTTAAAACATGTTCACTGTATTAATATTTGAGATGTAATACTTGAAGACAAAATGAACTGGTTAAAAACATAGGGTTACCAATATATGACTAATTGGAAAGGTATCATTACACAGGTGATTCACAACTAGCAATTAAACTAAGAAAAAATAAAGTTTTGCCTCATATAGGAGTATATTCTAAACTAAAGAAAATGGTATTCATTATACAATATGGAGAAATAAATCAACAATTATATCCATAACTTACGAGTTTAAAACTAACAAATAATTGATATTTTAGGTACAAAATACCTATTTTCAAAAGGTAAAAAATGTATTGTAAGGAATTTTTGAGAATCCCAGAATTGGTTTAAAAATCTTACTTGAAAGTTTTTTTAAGTCAAAAGAATTCAATAAGTACTTTATGAAAAAGGATATACAAATGTCAAAAAAATCAAAATAATGTTGAACTTTAATCATTAAAATACAAATCTGATCATTTAATATCACATAAATACAAATTTAAAAGCCCAATGTATTTAAAAACTTTAAATTTTAAATTTCAAACTTAAAAACTTCAAAAACTTTAACATTTAAAAACTTCCACACCAACTGGAATGGTTCAAGAAAAGTTTAGCAGAATAAATACAAAGAAAACCAATACTAAGGACAATATAGTTAAACTGCTGGAAAAACAATAACAAATAAAAGTTTTTAAGGATCCAGATCAAAATAACACATCAATTCCAAGGAGCAACAATAAAACTAGCAGGCAGTTTCTCCACAGGAATGACATAAGCTAGAAGACAAGGGAATAAAAACTTTATAGTGCTGAAGAAATAACTCCCAACCCAGAATTCTATGCTAGGTGAAAAAAATCTACATATTCTTCCAAAAATTAGAGAAAAAGAAGTTAGCTTATAGTGGGTCTTCAGTAAATGAAATATGAAAGTAAATCCTTCAAAGAGAAGAAAAATAATCCAAATGGAAATTAGGAGGTAATGGAAATGCTGAGAGAATCTAAAAACACTTTTAGAAAGGGTAAATATGTATAAACATAGATTTAAAATAAGCAACTGTCTTGTGGAGCATGACAATATATCACAACAATGAGGCAGGCAGGAGGCATATGGAGTTAAAATGCAGTACTGAAGAAGTGGCAAAGTATTTATTTATATAAAAATAATGACCAGCAAAAATACTCAACAAAAAATTAGCAAACTGAATTTGAAAGTGTATCAAAAAGATCATTCATCATGATCAAGTAGGATTTATTCCAGGGATGCAAGGATGGTACAACATTCGAAAATTCATCATCGTCACATCCACCACATCAACAAAAAGAAGGACAAAAACCACATGATCATCTCCAAAGATGCAGAAAAAGGATTTGACAAAATTCAACATCGATTCATGACAAAAACTCTCAACAAAATGGGTATAGAAGGCAAGTAGCTCAACATACTAAAGGCCATATAAGACAAACCCACAGCCAACATCATACTTAACAGCAAAAAGCTGAAAGCTTTTCCTTTAAGATCAGGAATAAGACAAGAATGCCCACTCTCCTCACTTTTATTCAACATATTTCTGGAGGTCCTACCCACAGCAATCAGACAACACAAAGAAATAAAAGGCATCTAGATTGGTAAGGAAGAAGGTAAACTGTCCCTGTTTGCAGATGACATGATATTGTACATTAAAAAAACCCTAAAAATTCCACACCAAAACTAACAGAACTAATATCTGAATTCAGCAAAGTTGCAGGATACAAAATTAATACACAGAAATCTGTTGCATTCCTATACACTAATGATAAACTAACAGAGAGAGAAATCAAGAAAACAATTCCATTCACAACTGTATCAAAAAGAATAAAATACCTAGGAATAAACCTAACCAAGGATGTGAAAGACCTATACCCTGAAAACTACAAAACACTCGTGAGAGAAATTAAACAAAATACAATAAATGAAAACATATCCCATGCACACGGATAGGAAGCATGAGAAATGGGCATCTGGTCTAAAGCAATCTACATATTCAATGCAATACAAATCAAAATACCAACAGCATTCTTCAATCAACTACACCAAATAGTTCTAAAATTCATATGGAACCAAAAAAGACCCCATATAGCCAAAGCAATCCTGAGAAGGAAGAATAAAGCAGGGGAATCACGCTCCCTGACTTAAAGCTCTACTACAAAGCCACACTAATCAAGACAATTCGGTACTGGCACAAGAACAGACCCATAGATCAATGGAACAGACTAGAGAGCCCAGATATAAACCTAAGTATATATGGTCAATTAATATATGATAAAGGAGCCATGGACATACAATGGGGAAATGACAGCCTCTTCAGCAGCTGGTGTTGGCAAAACTGGACAGCTATATGCAAGAGAATGAAACTAGATTATTGTCTGACCCCATACACAAAAGTAAACTCAAAATGGATCAAAGACCTGAATGTTAGTCATGAAACCA